ACTCCCCACCGACGGCTTGGAATCGATAAACTTTTGACCAACTATAGCAGCAGCATTCTAATCTAGTACCGACCTACACAGAAAACGGTGTGACTATGCTGCTTCCCCCAGGGTCACAGAACCCATGGGGCAGCCCCCCAGGCGGTGGCGGTGGTGCCGGTAACGCATTTCTATCCAGCAATCGTCCGGTGATTGCCGATCTTGCTCTGGCTGCCCTGAAGGAGCGTGGTGAGGTGCAGAAGAGGCGCATTTGCCCACAGTTCCGTACCGACCGATCGTTATGTTTAATGACCAAGAAAAATCCCATACGGCGGTTTTGTATAGGTATCGTAGATGCAAAGTATCCTTTTCGGTTTTGATGGATTGCTATGACGTAGTTATGTAATATCATTTGTTGCACACCTCATAGTCCTGGAAGCTTGATGCGGCGCTGTCAGATCTTGTATTTTATTCGATTCCTTTGCGATATAGTAATCCTAGAAAAGTAGTTTCGTGTAAATTTTCTTATTTACGAACCGTGACAGTAGTTTAGGGAGTGGATAAGAATATCTTCGCTGAATGATATGTGGCGGACGCATTTTATGAGTTTATTGAGAATGTCTTTAACAGCTTTTTATAGTGTTTTTCAATGAACTAACTTTGGATTCTCTGTCAGCATTGTTGTTAGTTAGCTGTATCTCTGAAGAATTGTTTGAAGATACAACAATTTATAGGAATAGCAACCTGCAACCGGGAGGGAAAACGAACTTCAAAGAACAAGAAAAGCGCTATGGTAAGGGAAGTTCCTTTTGTGGGGCTTTTCGTGGCGATCTACACAAAGCTTATTAGGATAACACAGACTTCGAATTGACCTAGCTGACGGCAAACATTATGAACATCAAGATGAGATTGTGATGACGGAGTTTCGAGGCCTGTGTGCAGCGGTAAGATTTGGTATTCTTTTGTGCTAAGGATTTTCATTTTACGAACTGTTTATAAATCCGGGTGACCAAGCAAGCTAAGGCACCAGTAATCGGTGTGGTTTCCACTGGGTCCGCTACGTTAATTAGTTGAGCCAGCAAACCAACAAAACAGGTGCATACAGATGCCTGCGAACCGAAAGATTCGGAGTTCTCTATAGAATATTTGGTAGTCTGAACTACATCGGCTTTATCTGCGTTGACTAATGTCACTGTCGAAGCCCCAAATCAGACTAAACGCTACCAAACATAGATATATGAAAAATAGAGTGGTTGATCGATACGGATGTTGTTCCTTAAATAGGTTTTACTGCTTAAAAAATATTTCATTCGTTTCAACACGGGTTTTAAGGTTCCCTAACTCGAGGTGGCTTATACCTACCGTAAAAGTGACTGCAGAAATAGTCCCTAAACTAATTGCAAATGTATTCTATTCAGCACTGCTCCCCTTCAAAACATTCTCCTACTGTTGCTGAAATCCGGCTGAAAATTAGCCACCATTGATCCATTGTCTATTTATTTGTTCTCTAAAATGTTGGGCTTGTTCGAATACCCCCAGGCCGGGAATAACTTAAGGGTCAACTTCGCAGGTTCTCTGACTCCTAAAAATAAAGCAAATAACAGTGAGCTAAAATTCGGCCGACGCTTATCCATTGATACATATGCTTCTGAATGTTACTCGGTTATCACGCACAAAACCACAAACCGACTTATTGCGTTGTGTGTCGATAACCTGAAGAGATACGTTAAATTTCACCGTGGTCCTCGACCATGATACTTTAGATCGAAAAATAATTTTCTTAACCGCCGAAAGTATGCGTCAGTGGCTTTTCATGAGAGAGGGGGAAAAGGGTTAAACGCGTCTTGCACGACAACTTTGTGCGTTTCGTAAACTTCGATAGAAAATGTCATAGGCAAGCTATTTCAAACTTGAATGCGAACCGATGGGATCTCTCTCAGTCCTTCGTGTCTCCTACGTCTGAACAAGATTTACTCGTGTGAATAAGGCTGAAGAAACTGGGAAGCATTGGACAGCTGTTTCGACCTGGTTGGGTCCAATCAGCAGTGCGAATCTATCGATCCAACTGGGGATCGAACACCAAACCCGCGTATCTCTATGAATTGTCATTGGAACAAAGAGTGGCGAACAAGCTCGTTTTCAATGATTCGTAGTCATGCCAAATACATCACAATAGATATCGCGCTGTTTATATATGCATCAATAGTCAAACATGAAAAAACAATCCGTTGTTTTGGGAAAGGAAAAATAACATCATACGTTATCTTGGGTTAATTTTGTCTAAGGACTGGACGTGGGATTCTCACTGATCACATAATTGTTAGGTCATACGATCGGTGGAACCACTCGGGATATGGGGTGTGTGGGGAGTGGGCCAAGGGAGCTTAAGCGCCTGAACAAATTGTTTTGAGGCACAGACGGGGTTGTGCCACCGAATTCATGCCGCTTCCGCCGTGGCCAGCGTGCGACATCGAACACGTTGCAGGGGGCGGAATGCTTCGGTCACATTCAGTGTGATTTATTTCACCTAGGTGTGAAACCACTGCACCAGTGAGTGACCTGATCATTCCTGAATTTAGCCAGGGTGGTGATCAAGGATTCGTTCGGACAAACGCCTGACCGTGCGGCCTATGCACGTTGTTCCACAAGAGTACGTAAATAAGTACACAAAAAATGAGGAGGCAGAAATTCGGCAGTTTATCCTTCAGTCGTAAAAGCAAGATTTGCTGGGACGTGAACAAAACGTGGAGCTTTACTGCATAGAAAGTCTTATTAATAGCATCGGATAGTCTCCTTTGTATTATCTCTGCTGATGTATCCCCTTGATCAGCAAGGTAATGTATACGGACTTCTTTCTGATCTCGGTCTTTTTCACAATATCTCCACCGCAATGAATCATCCTGTTAACCAGTCTTTCCGGGTAGCCATTGTGTGAAGGGAGTGCGTAAGAACCGGAGCTCTTTTTCTATTGTGTCCTCACTACAAATTTTCCTTGCTCTATCTGCTAGGCAGTGCACCAAATTCTTCTTCACTCTGAGCAGCACAACGCTGCGAAAATGAATATATTGGCCTTTCCCATTTGTCTGATCGCTGCACCGAGCGATCGGATTTACGATTCAGACAGACATCTAGAAATGCCAGTTTGTTGTCGATTTCCATTTCTAAAGTGAATCTTAGGTTCTGGGGTGCAGCATTAACCTTGTTCAATAGCTCATTTGTTCTCGATGTTGTGTTGATCACACACAGAAAATCATCCACATATCGTGTGTATAACATACAATCCTGAATAGAAGATTTAAGTTGATTATTTTCAAGTTTCGCCATGAACACATCGGCAAACAACAGTCCTAGAGGTGATCCAAGGCTACACCATCCTTTTGTGGGTAGATCCGCTCGCTGAACCTAAACTGGACGTTGTGTGTGCAAAAATAAAGCAGTTGTTTCAGATTTTCCAAAGGAAGGCCTATCTCAACATTGTTACTTTGTACATAACGGCACAGGTATTCCATGGTTTCGCTCTGTGTGCCTCAAAACAATTTGTTCAGGCGCTTAAGCTCCCTTGGCCCACTCCCCACACACCCCATATCCCGAGTGGTTCCACCGATCGTATGACCTAACAATTATGTGATCAGTGAGAATCCCACGTCCAGTCCTTAGACAAAATTAACCCAAGATAACGTATGATGTTATTTTTCCTTTCCCAAAACAACGGATTGTTTTTTCATGTTTGACTATTGATGCATATATAAACAGCGCGATATCTATTGTGATGTATTTGGCATGACTACGAATCACTGAAAACGAGCTTGTTTGCAACTCCTTTTTCTGTTAGAAATATGCTTTATGGGACTGTTTAGAAGATTGTCATTGTTAATATCAAGAATTTATCACTCCAATCACCATTCACTGAACAACCTTTCAAATGTAGCACCTGTCAATAAGCACTGTTTTGCTAAAACGCACGTGGTAAACTCACAATCTCACACAAATAATCTTCCCAACAGCGTTATCCGAATGTGCTACGCGGGGAAAAAATTCCGGGAAGGAGTGTGTACTTACTGGTGCCACCTGAAAAAAGCAAATCTATCACGGTGAAGCTGCGTCATAGATGCATATTCACCACCGCCTAATGCATGCACAGTAAGTTAGATTCCTGCAACCGCAGCAAGCAATGTCTTGAGTATGTTGTTGCTCGCCCTCACACACGGACAGACAAACAGTTTTCCTTTATTTTTGTNCTCATGTACGTCGCCGTTCGGCCGTCTTTGACTCTACTTTCTCCGTGAGCTCCGTCATTCTTATCGTTAGCAGTGCGTGCGTCGCGCCATTCCTGGTCGTAAGCACGGCAAGGGGTGGTCTTTCACTAAGGAAGTCGCTCTATTAGTTAATATCTAGGCTGGTGGGAGCCATTGTTTCCTTTTAAGAAAGCATTTTTTCCGGAAGAAACAAACGGATTTACCACATTATCCGTAAGAAACATGAGATCATGGAGGTAGGGCTAGACATGCTAATAACCTCTGGAATGAAACGTCAAGGATTACTGTGTAGCGCAACCGAACGTAAAAAAAACTGTTGGTTATTAAATAGCAAAGAAATTATAAATCCTCGGTTGAATCCCTCCAACAGTTCACCATTCCAGGGATTCGGTTATCGGTCACCATAACCGAGCCGTAGGTTCTAGTGTTTTATCAGACTAATGAGTGCTTAAAAATTGCTCTTACCATTTTAATTTCTTACATATCACATCCACACTTATTGAATCTTCGGCACTGTTTGGCGTTTCCTCACGCGCTGATACACACACACACACCAGCATGCTGTTGTTCTCGATGTGATCATTCTGCGGGACCATTCAGACCACGGCATCTTCCTCTTTTAGAAACGAGTGATCTATAATTTTGTCACCTGAGGATTTGATTTCCTTGAAGATTGTGGTTATCACTACTAGATGCTACCGCTGCCGATTGTTTTATTACGAGTTCTTCTTTGTTTCCCCCTCGGTGCTTTCACTGCATTGCGTTTGCACTGCGAACTGTTCTGCTATCATGGTCACATTCAATGGATGTGATTTTCATATCTTCCACTTTTCATCCTCAGGGGTTCTTATACACTGATGCTTAAACAGTGATTCTGTGATAACTATGAAGGTTTTCTTGCGGATTATCTGATCACTACTCGATACCCTCATTGAGGTGAAAATCAAACGTGTCGTAACTACTGGAGGCTTTCCTGTTTGTATTAGACGAAACACCGGCGAAAGGTGATCTACTTAAATGCTGTATACTTCATACTTACTGGGAGGAAAGGTGCCACAAAATTCTGAACTTTGTTAGGATCATTTGTCGTCTAAAGAGAGATCAA